CAACTGAGTAGGGTTCATAAAGTGTACATAGAGCGTTTGGTTCCAGTTATAATCCTTTTGCATTGGTAAAGATTAAGGCGATCGTGTTTCGGCCGTCTCTAACAACAATTTACTCTTCAGGAAAGTCTCCTCTCTGTTACTGCGCACAGAAGTCGGTCCACCCTCTGTCCACGTTCCCTGTCATACGGAGGAATTATGTTTGACTTGCTGATTTCTTGCAGTATCGTGCATCTCCTACACTGTACAAAGAATGTGGAGAGTTTCGTTCAGCAGCGCTGATCCTTTGAGCTTGGACAGTTCCACAGGCAACCGCTACTCTCTCTCTCTCATTTTGCGCCTAATTTGTGATTATCTGCATAACTGTTCTCTGCTTTTACGCACTACCTCGTTTCGTACTCATGACAACTCTTACTAAGCTACGGAGACACCGGTGATCACACATTTGAAGAATTTTAGGACTCTGGGACCGGAAGGGTCAGGTTTCGTAGCTACAGACCACGACCGTTCCTACAGTTGCCTACGCCATAAACGATGCAAGTTTTTAGGCACTTCTCGCTTCCTGATAATCCATGCATTGACTTCATTCGTTATAGTACAACCATGGCGTAAGCAGCTCACCAGGGATGTACCGATCAGCAAACCTAAGAGCCTCATTTTTGTATCCTCAAAAACATATGAGAATGAAAGAGCCTGAAGTGAGATTCGTGCTTTAAAAATACAAAACGCCTGCTCAAAAGTCGAACCATCTCAGACGTTCGGGGAGGGGGTGGACTCCTGAAACATGCCTTTTTTGTTACAAACTGGAAGGAAGCAAGAAGAAACGCCCTAATCCGGAGGCACTTCACCGTATCTCTTTGAATGTATGATACAGAAAATTGTCAGACAAAGAAGGCAGAAAATAAACCTTTACCATCAGGATGTCGGAAGAAAGGCAGTCAACAGCATGATCAATTTCCTTTGTTTACACAGTTCTGGTTTCGGTCTTCTTTTGAGAGGTGATACAGCAAACTGCAGGACCCTGTCGTTCGTGGCCCCGCACGTGATTTGGAAGCCACAACACTCAGTTTCAAGTAAATTAAGGACTATCGGGATAACTTGAACGAAGCAGCCTCGATTCATGCACGCAAAACATCTTGACTTGGACACGGCAGTAAGTGAATCAACTATTCCAGACAAATCTTCAATTCTTGAAGAAAACATCAGAACATTTCTTTTCTTATGCCAGTCCAACAGATGTTACGGAAACAAATGGCATTAGGGATTGTCACAGACTGCAAGATCAAGAAAGTTTAGATTGACCAATCTGTCCACAGAGTCAAAGATTCCTTTGAAGTTGAAGGAATGCGGTGTGCTGAGCGCTAATCAAACATTTGACGTAATGTAAAGACATGAGTAATGTGCCCATTACTATGACATGATCCTGCTAGATGCTCTCGTAGTTGCATCGCACGTGTAGAAATTGGGTTGAGTTGGTCGATTTGGGTGCGTTTTTTTTCAACGGATACGGCGACTGATTGACCTCCAGTCATTGGAACACACTCCTATTCTCAAATGAGCACAAACAAGCTGAGAAAGACATAGGGAAACGATTCATACCCGACCTTTGAATTCTGCCGGCAAAAGTTGATCTGACACAGCAGCCGAATGGCTATTTAAAGGAGAATGACAGTGATGCCTCAGAGACTAATGGATGGTCTACACACACGGCTCACTACTCATATTGAAGAAAGAAATTCTGTCGGAAGTACTCAGAAACATAGTTGTAGTCCAGCGGTGGAAAACGCCGCAAAGGATGTTTAACAGGCATTCTTTTGGCATTCTTTGGAAGACACAAGACGATATGATTTCGTTTGTCCTGGTGGCGATTTACCATAGTGTTCCTAAAATCAGTATAGACGGGTGAGACTTGAGGCGTCAAGATAGCGTCTCTGAGAAAAATGTTCGATAGCGCATAGAAAATTTGAAACGGGAACGCGTTCAGTATTGACATGGACTTTTAAACACCCAATACATATCTATCCCATTTACATTACCTCAATACACGGGATGCAAGATCAAATCATACTGCAGTATTGCTTCCTCTCGCTAATTCATGAAGAAAGCACTGGGAATCATGAAAAACTGGAAGTATCGGCGTTTTATCGGGGACAGTGAAAGTCTTGAAAAGTGCCTTTTGCTTTTCTGTTGCCCGCAGAACATTCTACGGGGAGGGGCTGGCAGCCAACCTGAAGATCTCTTTTAGAGAATTCGCACCCCGGTTATTGATACGGTCCACGGATCGGAACAACTGAGCCACCCGGGAGTCAGCAACCCGGAGGTTGAGGTTGTCCTTCAGGAGTTGCCTACTGAGAGGCAGTTCAAAATCTCACGACGGCATCATTTGGTTTGTCTGTTTTGAGTAGCACACTTGAATTCTGACAAAACAAACCAGCTAGTGTGTTTGATTGTGATTTGTTTTGAAGAATAGTAATGAAAGAACGTAAAAAAAATGGACTTCTGTAGAACTTGAGTGACTTCTCAGGGGAAATGAACAATCACACACTGGTAAACTTTGGGTTCGTCTGGGAAAAGAATTGCATTGGTAGATGGTCTTCAAGATAGTTTTTAACTTGCAAAGCAGTGAACTTCTATGAGAAGTAGTTCATTTTCTACGTGAACATTTTACTCCGAAAATTTACCTGTGCGTGCCTTCAGTTATTCAAAATTAGCCGAGTAGCTGAGTGTGCACCGAGGTATATTCATATCAAATAAGAAAATCCCTATTCTCAGGACAAAGAGTAAAGTTGAGACCACAAAAACATCAACAGACAATCATCAAGAGAGCAATCAAAACGAAAAATTTTGATTCCTTTGAATTGGATCTCAAGTAACTCGAAGGTCAAGAGCCCTCTTGAGACCAGATCACGTGGATTCTCAGGCTTTTCGCATAGTTCAGTTCATGTGAACTAGTCCTCTCAGACGAGCTGGTTCAACTCAGCGAGTTGATTGATAATGATCACGATGAATTTGTTGATAGTATATTTTTGGTGACAGTGGGTGAGAAGAATTTCGGATTTAAATATTGATGTTATCCAATAAATGACGTTAGCCTGTTTCGAAAAATCGCAACAGCACTGTTCAGCTGTTCCACCCCTGTACAGAAGCTTCAGCAGTAAACAACTGGACACAATGTGTTTAAGCCACAGAGGAGCCTAAAAAAGGCGTTCAGTCTCCCGAACACATCAGGAAACCTCCGAACCAATGTGTTTTAACGAGACCTACATTGTGGATCACTAGAATACTTCCTCGCCAAAAGTAAACGATTCGAACTAATGTCAGTTGGTACTGTTCTCCAAAAAGTACATGCTAAGAGAGCCATGACGTCGTTAACGTCGTTAGTAAACAGCCATGGAGAATTTTCATAAAGGAAACTGCTCACAGGGTTGCTGAAAACTCTTCGACAGCCCACGACCGGTTTAACCATTCTTGGGGCTCATCAGGTAGGCACAGTCCCCGAGTTTCCGTCAACCCCGTGTTCAACTTGAACCCAAATTGAATTGTTTTCGAGAAATACACTCATTTGCAAATTAATTTGGTTTTTACGAGAGACTCAACTGAAACATGGGGCGCCTGTGTGCAGCACATCCAGTTGTATAATATCGTAAACGAGAGATGCAGTTGAGTCTCTCGTGAAAATATTTGGAAAATATTTGTGCGGTGCCTTGATAGAGGATGTCGCATCACACTAAAAGCCGAGGGAAGCGACGATAAAGCTAATACCTCATTGATTCACCGGATGGTTTGCTATATTAGCATATTTTGGGCCGAGGAATAGCCACGACTGTCTGAATAACGGTGACTGGTACGCAGCAAGATCAACCAACACTAGGAATGAGCATGGCGTGTTTATCCTTCATCCAAACCGTTCACATTGTTTAACCGGCAATGACAAGCTTCTTGAGTGGCGGCCGTCTTCAGCTGAAAGTCCGTCCGTCTTGTCACAAGTTTTTATCTCTAGCAGATCATTCTTGATCAAACTAACAAGCCAACTGTTTCTCTCAGCAAAATTTAACGTTGAAAGTAACATGAAATGTAGCAAAAAATGATGAATAGTTGAGGCTTACCAGAGCGTTGTAGGTGGTAGCGGTTTCCCTTCCACTTAGAAATATTTGTTAATTTCGTCTGTTTTACGTGATTTTCCCTCTTTGCGTTTTATTCGCCTAGGACTGGGGCTTTGGAAGGGCCGTCGGGACTGGCTTTCATCGCAAAATACCGCGCAAAATTTTCAGCCGCTAGGTGTGACACTCGACTGGCAGCGACGTGGATCGATAAAGGAGGACTATCTGAGACGCGAATGTTCTTATTCAAGCAAATTTACTGTACTTTTGAAAAAAGCGCATTTTAGGGTAGAAAAAAGAAGAAAAAACCTGTACCATGCACGTTCTCGTTTCAACAATGTGTGCTTACATGCCAGACTGCGATTACATGTTTCACTGGTACATACTTTGACGGGCTATTCATGCGTCCTGGTACACAAATTGTCGGGTGGTATTATGGGAATGGCATCTGACTTGCCGATTTACAAAGCTCGTGTGCTACGCAAGCTTGACATGCTAGATGCGATTACATGTTTCACTGGTACATACTTTGACGGGCTATTCATGCGTCCTGGTACACAAATTGTCGGGTGGTATTATGGGAATGGCATCTGACTTGCCGATTTACAAAGCTCGTGTGCTACGCAAGCTTGAAGTTGAGCCTCACGATCAGTTTCATCGGTGTCTTCTTCCAGCCCACTGAGAGCATCATCATCCTCACATCAATCATCATCATCATCATCATCATCGTCAGCTGTAAGAACCACGTTCTGGTCGTACAGTGGTTGTGGATGCCACAGTTTCGTTCACTGATGATTTGGGGGAGTGGGGTAGGTTGCTGCGCATTGGAGGCGGGAGCTGACTAATTGGTGCATGAATACAGCACTATCAGTGGACTAATAAGTGGGGGAATTGGAAGAGGAGCTATGCATTGAAGGCAATAGCTTGGATGCACAAGCGCCATTGAGGTCGTGACTGCGCCATGTCTGACAATGTCTCTAACCATTGATGTGGTCCATTTCGGGGTCCCCATCCAGAAAGACGGCAATGACCATCACAGTTGAGCTTGCTGGTAATGGCTGTTATAGTGAGTTAGTGAGGGCTGCACTTTGGATAGTTTTTAAAGTAATGCTTATCGAGAGGATGAAACAATACTGTTTGAAACAGAACATTGTGGTCAGAACACAGTGATTCTGACCGGTCCATATACTTTGCCAACAACCATGTACGTAAGCTACTACAATTCTTACAGTTCACCTTGATAGAATGTATGTTCTTGTCAATAACAACGGTATTTAATGAGTCGCGGTCCAACCTGGACTGTGCCCTTGATCAACACCGAAAACTAACAACAAAATTGGCGGTAGTGAAAGGGGGAATCACGCATTTTCGCCCTTCAATGCGGTTTTTATATCCCCAGAAAGTAAATCCACCAGCCAACACATTTAGTCAATTCGCCATTTTTAATTCAGCACATCTCAAGCAACGTGGTCAGCTGGGCCTTTTCGCGCTCTCATTTGAAGCACTCTGCTTTTAGGAGCCCCGCAGTATAGAGGATCACTGTGTTCACCGGCGGCTGATTGGTTGGTAATTTTTACGTGAAAACGCTTAACATCCCAAACATTAGACAGTCATAACAAAGACATAGTTTGGAGCGCTTGAATGGCCGTACATCCCAACCTCCTCATGTACGTTAGTTGCATTCCGCTCATCGGAAAAGCCATGGTGCACGTCCGTTTGCTATCTCCAAACGACTAGCTTGAATAAATGATAGGAAAGAACGGGGAAGCTACAGTACAGAGTAAATTGCAGCCTGAGTGAGGATTCGGAAGTTTCCAATTTGTCTGGGTGTCCTTTCTTGCATGGTTTTCGATAAAAACTCCGCAGGGTTAACGGGATTGTTTTTCCTGGCTAGATGACGCCAATGGGCATACATACCCAGATTTTATTCACCATTCATTCTAAGTTTTCCACATGAATAGTAAGGAATTTCTCTAGATATTAATATCTGATTAGGTCAGAAGCGCATCACTGATACTCTGATCCAACAGGTATGCCTAATTATCGTTTATTCTATATTACTCGTAAGTAGGAGGCTTTAGACAAAATTTCCGATCAACTTTGATCGGCACCGTCACACTCGGAGCCAGTTCGTAAAACCGGCTGCCAATCAGGTTGACTAGAACTTGCTTCTTATGACGAATTTTCGTGTAACGAATATTCCTTAGTTCCAGGACCAAGTTAGAAGGGTAATTTGGCGATGAGTGGCTGTACTTCATCAGGGCTCCAAGGGGATTAAGGATGAAGGCATCGTGTGATGCGAATTAACAGCTGGAAAGGGACAAAACAGGCAGAACAACTGTTGGGTTTCCGGAGTGAACAATGACATGTCAGCGATAGGACAAAACAGCCAAAAAAAGAAGTTTACGGTTCTAATTTCAATGTCCTGTATTATGTAGTTCCAGGCCGTAGCTTGCTCATGTTTACAGGATGAGTGTGGAAGTTTGCAAGCAGAACCCAACGTCAACGCACGAAATTTTTACTCCTTGTGCGTTTTCGGGAAGCCAATTAATCGTCGCTCATGGGCGAATGACTTTGCACCATTCTTCGTAGTTCTTTTATATCCTCGTATCAACGGACCTTCTTTTCGGAGAGGTTTGGCAAAGATCGGTAGATTTATTTTTTTCCCCAAATTTTCAGAAACGCTGATTTTTCGACCCGTTTGAAGAGTCCTTCAACTAACTGTTTCAAATAGACTGGTTTTCTGGATGCTGCATTTGCTAAGCGCTGGCGTATATCACAAACATTAAGAAAGTCAGATCATGTAATATCCAGAAGGATGGTACGTCCTTTGAAATGCCAGACTGTTAGGGATTGGTTATATGAAAACCCAGGTGGTTGTCACATCGATATGCAAATGTCATATTTCAGCTGTATCAGAGTGTTCAGACAAGTATTCTGAAGAGCACTGGGTCTATGGGATGCAAAACTTCGTAGTACTTTAGGCTGCATGTCTCATGTTGAGTATTGTCGGCTTGTACTTAGTTCCAATCAAGAAACGGAAGATTGTATTCAGTAATTTAGGATCGTCTTTAGGGTTCGTTGGCCACTTGGCAAGACTATCCAAGAGGATCTGATCCCGTGTATTAGCCGTAGTGTAAGTTACTATCAGGCGATCGACCGATTTGGTTCACAGACTCCAGCCCAGTTGAATAGCTTCAGCCTTTGTTCCGGAGGCAAAGGAATTGTCTGAATGAATCGGATGGACGGTGTTGGACTTGGACGAGGACCGTTTGTTAACCGACTGACGTGGTATAACACGATCGCACTAAGTATGTCGTAATACACTACTCATAGGTATGTTGTATACTCTCCGACAATCCACGACCGGTTTCATCCATCTTTTTGGAGCTCATTAGGTAGACACAATCCCGAAGTTCTGTCAACCTTCTGTTCTACTTGAACCAAATTTTCACGGAAATAGCGAAGAACAGTGTCGTTTTGGCCCAGCTAATTCTACTCGCCAAATGAAAATGTCAATTCAAGCTCATTAGTAGACACAATCCCGAAGTTCTGTCAACCTTCTGTTCTACTTGAACCAAATTTTCACGGAAATAGCGAAGAACAGTGTCGTTTTGACCCAGCTAATTCTACTCGCCAAATGAAAATGTCAATTCACATTCATATCACGGCGGTTTGAACGGTTGCCCTCCTGTCCCGGTACAGATATTCTGGTGAGTCCACACCGAAGCTCTTATTAGATGTCATCAATGGCCTACCGTCCGATCAACACAGCCAGAACAATCACTGGGTCACTGTTTGAATCGTCGAGCAAACCAGTCACATCGCATGAGTATGAACACGTTCGTAGCTGCTCACTAGTGAGCATTCAGGCGGTTTCAGTGTGCGCTGGCTGGGTAATGGTAACCTGTCATCCGGAGTTCAAACTCCGGGTGAGTGAAAGTGTAGCCCCGCGCTTCCGCCATTTCGTGGAGGGGACTCTTTCTGGACCGCGAAGTGGTCTGTTAACCCTACGGAAGAAGAAGACATCATAAAAAAGCCTCGGTTCTTCTTGGTGACTACCAACCAGTAGAGTTTTGAGAAAGACTCATAATCCGACATGCCATACTATCAGCTGACTGGTCAAAATTCATCCTGCAATGTACAGGTTTAGATCATCGCCTAGAGTGCTGTACGCAGGTCGCAGCACCTGTTGCCTACACAGAGCGGCTGTTCTATTCCAGTAAGAAAATAAGGCGAAATCCCTGGTATAGGTAGTATAACAAATAAGCTAAAATGCTTTGATATCTTAATCTCTGTGGCAATCTTACGCCACACATTCAATTGGTTAGCTTCCAAAAGATGGTTTTCATCGCGGTTTTTGTTACTACCATCTCAATTTCCAAACGAGTGTTCGTTTCAAGGAAAATCCCCGGTAACTTACAACAAGGTCGAGAAGCTAACAGTAAGCCCACCAAGCACCCCGCAATATGTACAATCGACTGTCACACACAGAACTACCGATGGAGTATTCTTGGGAGGTTTATTCTGTAGACAAAAGTCATCTGAGACCTTGGTTAGCAAATAGGATACTTCTGTTTCACAACACGACGAAGCAACGACAGGATGTGTTTGATAAATCATAGGGTTTCGCAACCGAAAGCCACGATCTTCATTTGGAACTCAACACCGATGTGGAAGTATCACATAGTATTTTGTTCACCTTCACACCACTCTCGTTTGAACGGTCGTCCTGGTCATTCTGGCGTAATTATTCTGGTGAGTCCACACTGAAGGGGAGAGGCACTGGATTCGGGTTTCGCTCTTATTATAGCTCATCACACATAGTAGTCGAATGGGTATCAAGCAAGATGTGGACTTTCACCTACAGATAGTAATCAGGCAAGATTTCTTTGTCACCCTTGCAATATCTACCAGGCATTTGGTTTCTATGTTGCCACAACAAGCCGTGGACACATTCTCAATGTCGTTTCCGAGGGCAGAGCCCGTTTTTATCCTTTCAGCTGTAGTAACACAATCCAGCACAGGCTTATGGCGAGCCTTGGAGTTGATCAAGTTTGAGGGCTTAATTAGGCGTGCCGGCTACAGATATAGTCAAACCTTAGTTGATCAGGTAGCACTTGACACGAATACTAGGTAGTCGTGCCTGCCTGTTGACGTTTGCCATGGTGAATACCAAAGAATACTGCCATCTCCAAAGAAAAGTTTTTTCACACTCATTATTTTTATTATGATAAACCAAAACAAAGGAAACACTACTGCGGATAACAAGTTTTGCCACGAACAACGCGTGGATTATTTGAAACTCAGTTAGTACCCAAATTCCATCACCATCACCATCACCATCATCATCATCATCATCACACCAAAAACGCAACATCAGTGTTGGACACCGAGCTTCACTGCTGGACAACAATGAGGTTCGTCTAACTATATTTAAAGCCCTAGAATGAAAAGAAGAGAAAAAGTGTTGGTGGGGGAGGGACCTAGTGCCGGCCTTTGCCAAGCAGTCTGAGGTGCCTACAACTCCAAACGCTCAATCAGCAATCTGGAAAGAACCTGACAGCACGAACGCCACTGGTAATGATTAGCCACCATTTCTCGCAACGTCTCCTGTAAACCACAAGTGGGGTCATGGGGACCCCATCCTGGAAGATGTATAACACCAACACCACCCAAACTCCTCCTAATCTCTTTCACACTCTTCTGTAGTCATACGTTAGCCTCTTCGCAGTTTGAGCCATTCTGAACGAGGCACGGAGAAAAACTTCCGTCTCGGTAGACGGTGTTTCGGCATGCGTAGCACATGGCCCAGCCATCGTAGTTGGTGGTGCTGGATGTATTCCCCGAATGAATTACCTACTGCATAACCAAATACCCGTTTTCTAATCACGTCGTTACTAACACGTTGACGCCATCCGACTCCAGTCACGCTTCTGGGGCATCGGTGGTCAAATACATGAGTACGTCTCACATCATTTGTCCGCAGAGGCCACGTCTTGCATCCACACAACAACACAGCCCTTACTGTAGCCTGGGGCACACAGCCTTTTGACGCCACAAGTGGCGCAAATTAGTAAACGTGATTCTAGCCACTAAGATTCTCGTACTGACTTCATCAGACACCAAAAATTCACGCGAGTGAATTTTAAGGGGTAGTTGTGAGTAAATTGGCCCACCCGATCGTACACTGACGATGTCTCCTCCTCAATAACGACCGTAATTAGGGCGAACAGGTCCGCTACTAACTGATCAACAGCCAAACGATGCAGAGTGGTACTCATTTCACCCCGGTTGTACACTGCCGATACTTAGTTACTTGAGAGGTATCTGTGCTAATCAAAGTGGGCCTTGTTGGACGCTATATAAGGTTAGCAACAGAGCTGAACAATCATTTGTATCTCTGCACCAAACTAGTCGGATGACACTCAGATTCGGGTGATGAGCACTGCCAATAATCTCTCGAAATAATGTCACAGCTGAACAGCTCTTTTGTTCTCCTAATGATCTACATACTTAAAAGCCACCAAATTCTTAGACTTCAGAAACATTTCGGGTTGAGATTTCGCGATAACAGCATTTAATCATGCGATTCGCCTTTTAGTCAAGATCAACCTTCGTGGGCTAAACAAAGTGCGAATTGAATATGACGGTGGTTGAATGTGGGTTGAATCCAACCGCTGGAGACTAATGGCAACAAAGATGCGGATGATATATGGCTTGTGCGATAGATTAGTGCGGTCATCAATATGATTTCCAACTTCTGAAGCAATGGAAAGCAAATGGCGTGGGATTTTATGTTACAGAGATGAGATACGGTGTGAAACAAACGATTAAATTGAAAGTTGGAATTACGGCTAAAAACCGGATTCGGCCATTTCGCAGCTTAGTTCCAATCGGATGACTGAAAAATTACTTTTGTGTTGGGCTAAACTTCTACCAAAGGATAGGATGGTAGAACAGGATGTAATAATAAGGGCGATGAGTAACAAATGACTCGTTTTTTGGTACTCCAACCACCGAATATACAAACCGACTCGGTCAACTGAAGAACAACCGAATATGGCGAAGACCCGAAGACCGCATGACTAAGTTGCAAAAAACCAGAACAATCCTCTCAATTACTTTACCCCCCATAATCAGGTCGCAGCTGAAAGACAAATTACGACCAAGAAGCCCTTGTCACGCATCGCAAGTTTATAGTGCGAGGTGATTGTCTGCCCATATTCTCTGATTCCTGGGAACTGTGGATCTAGCCCCTGTACCATCACTTTGCAACAAACCACAGCTGCTTAAGCAATGGATACAGACAGCTTTTATCCTACGGTCCACGGAGGCCCTTGGAATGACCGTAATTCGTGCAGATCCAGCTGTCGGCTATGGTTGAGGTTATCATTGTCAGCTCGTGTAGTTCCGGCCTTTGCACCTAGAAGGAACGCGCGCTTAACTGGCAAAGTACTCTTGTTTGCAGCCTGAAGGGACGGCGATGATTCTTCGCCTAATCTTTGGAGGATATAGAACACAATTTGTTCCAACGAATGAAAGCGATCACGTCAGGTTTTCGTAGTAGAAAAAAATATCCAGGTGCAACTTTGAGGTGTCCAATTCTGGGAAATGGTTCTTACTGTGTACAATTTTTTCAATGTGGAATGACCATTGATCTAAGTGGTGCTTAAAATGTAAGACCTATTATCAAAACTGCGGGCAAAATGGCCACAAACTTTAGTTTAGGCTACTGTGTACAGTTTTTTCAGTGTGGAATAACCATTGATCTAAGTGGTGCTTAAACTGTAAGACCTATTATCAAAACTGTGGGCAAAATGGCCACAAACTTTAGTTTAGGGTGTTATCAAAGGTAACTAACAGCACATTTTTTTGAGAGATCACACTACTTAGAAGGCTACTCTCCCACAGCCCACTACTAGTTTGGTATTTTATGGCAAACTTTACTTCTGATTTTACGTTGACATTATTTTCATGAACGTTCGTGAATGACGGGGTGCAACGGTGATACTACTGATGGGGAGGCACTCGAGTAGTATGTGTTGTTTGTGGAATTTCGCTTTGCGTCTCTTGAAAAGGAGAGATCTGTTGCGGAATTTGTGGAGCCGCTTTGTAACATTTGCTTGGATTTGAGCAATGAATGAATGGAGTCAATGATTATTCAGGAAAGTTCAAGAAGACGCGTTCAAGAGAAGATGGATGTCCAGTTTTTGTAAGATAAGATGTAAATGAGAGTTTTGCTTCCCTGTCGAAAAGTCTGTAACCGGTCAGTTGGCATTTTCTAATAAGTGACTCCGCAGCAAAGGCCTTCTTCTTTTCAGGAGTAGATACCCAAATATGCGAGGCAGAAAACATGTACTTTTTAGTGAACAGGAAAAAATCTATAATCTTTTAGACTACTGTCAACCGCTGAGGGGAACTGAACTGTCGATAGTGGCATGATTGACATGTATAGATTGCGAGTTTGCAACTCAGAAACAATAAAAACACTCAACCAACAATTGGTCCACATGAGTTGTAAGCAGACAACGACGCCGCCGTTGGAAAATAACCATAATTTTTACTTTACAGTCACATCGGAAACACTTAAGAGGCTGCCAAGCAATTTGGATTCAAGTAGAACTTAAGGGGGACGGAAACTCGGTGAATTGGCCTACCTAATTTATTCCAAGAGTGATGTGTGCTATCGAAAAGTTTGCAGCAACCTTATGAGTATTATTTTACATCTATAAAAAGACCACCTACAGGGTCTGGTTGAACACATTCGATGAATTTTAATATGGACAAAGGTTTCGTAAAACCGAAATTTCCTGTGTTTAACTAAGCGTTTTTTTAAAAGCGTCTGGTATGATTCAAAGCCCCTGTTTTGACAATCATGAGGTTAGCGCCAAGGTTTGATCACTACTCAGCTAAAACATTCTGACAGCTCACCAGTGGTCGAATTGTTATCGAAAACCAACCGAAATGAAGCTCCTGCGAAGAGTTTAAGATTTGATTACAATTATCGATCACCGTTCAAGTTGCAAACCATCACTTAGGCGGTGCTTAGCTGATGCGACCTGACTGAAAGGTGTGAACATTTTGTGTAGGCTTGGTTAAACAAATCGTCTTCTCTGGTTATCCAGCTGGGTCCATGGGCTCGATTTGCAACTTTCCGCTAAGTCTAACGACTCAGATCGATGTATCAGCACTCATAAACGAGAGTATTGTGGTAACCACACACAACCTTGCATTCGATTGCATAGAATACATGTAGTGAATAAAACAAAACCGGGGGAAATTTCTCCGAGCATTTCTCTGGATTATAATTTAGCTCGGTGGAGCAAAAATTACAAGGAATTGTGGAATTAAAGTTTAGTGAGAATTCTGAGAAACTGCAAACTGTGATTAATGAGGCCGTATGTATCCCAACCTTGGCTTGACAACCTGAGGTCAACTAATGATGAGCAATTAGCCAACACGAGTATATTTTTGACGTTTGTGCGATCTAGTTTGCGGAACTTGCTATTATTCAAATACAATCTAACCCAGTAGTACCAAGTTGGAGAGGAGTGAGGGACATAAATGTTCCATATTGTCATATGAACTAGGGGAAGGGAGGATGAAAAACCCTAATGCTATCATTTACTATCCTGATCCAACACGATTTCGAGCTCTTCAACCTTGATTCAGGAAGGTCAAACATACTGTGATTCTATTTTCCGATGAATGATGGGACTGAGTAAACTAATTAGGAACAAAACCGTTGTACGAGGATTGTTCCACGGCCATTACGTACCTCTCTAAAAACTGGAGTACCGATAACCGGAGTACTATGTGACAGAACCGGTCTTGGAAACTAAATTCAGAATTTACGGTTTAACCGGATGGTTTACTTACTAAACTGTTTTGTGTTCTTAAATTTATACAGCTTGTTTGTTTCAACAAACAGTCAGGCAACAATCATTCAAAATCTCAAGAAATTCGGGAAAACGAGTCTGAATGTTGCATCACAAGTGGGGCTTTTAAAGAGCAACCACCACTTTGTTGTGAGTGTATAAATTTCTGCCTAAAAAGACAGAAAACTGATTACTGTAAGGGTATCTCGGAACATCCTGTTTTGATATGCATTACTTCTTGTCGTTGCGATTCCCTCCTGAAGGGAAGTGCATATTGTGCATATTGTTTGCCGTGCCGGGACTTGAACCGTGGTCTCTCCAGCAAACGACAGACGCAGCTGAATTTCACGTCTGTGCAGGTGAACCGTGATGACCGATGCGATTGGTCTCCCCAACCTCTCTGACGACTATCCAGTAATCTCTAGTTATCTGGAGCGAGTCTGTCGGAACTTTCTAATCAGGAAGCTTGAGACCTACTGGACAATCATGATCAGCGGATCTGTTGGACTTCCAATCACGTTACTCTCGTTCGCGTTGGGCATTGGGGATGGGGGGAAAACAATCACACCATCCAAGGGTTAACGTGGTGGCTTGTTGAGATGTAATAAATCAGACGCGTCCATCAAGCACCGGCGACACGCTCGCTTTGTAGGTCAGACGGCCGGGGTTCAAGTCCCGGTACAAGCAAACATAGGCACAGCTCACGAAGTCTGATGAAAGAAACGATTTCCCTGTCCAATGTAAAAATATGGGTAATGAATAAGTGAATCTTCAATTGGCATTTAAGAGTGCTATTTGCTGAAGGTGATGATGAAGGTGATGATCCTGAAAACTTATTGCTTTTCGAGATGGGGGTTGTCCTGGGATTAACAAATATCCTCCAAAATAACTTTAATTTGGCACCTATTCACAGATGAACACTATCACGTAAGTGCCAGAAGAACTAGCAGTCTCCTGGTTCTACAGGTTGGGGGGTTGGAACATGTGGCGACTGGCTCCGTAAAAACGGTAATGCACTCGCATTTACTGCCAAACACCGCTGCCTTGCGGTTATGCTTTCGAGTCAAAGGCGTTGGTTGAGGACCCTAATCGTCATCCTGTCTAGGTGTGGGCGCCCTGGCAGTATCCCAACCAACGTACAACCATGAACTGCACATATAAAAATAAACTCATGCCACACAGGCCATCGCATGGAATCTGTCCCAGGCAACTGGGTACAGTCGATGATAGTGGCAATTTTCGAAAATGGAGTACGTAGAGATTGTGGCAATCACAGGCTTGACCCCGGTCATAACGAGACTGTTGGCATTGGTAGTGCTTCGTCGCTTTATGGTGGCTCGATAAACACTGACTCAAGAGCAGCGAGCGGGATTCCGGCTTGGTAGGAGTTGCACTGAGCAAATCGTCAAACTTCGGTGGGTGCAAAAACAACGCCATAGGTATAAACGACCCGCAGTTCTGGTGTTTCTGGATTTCCAAGGCGCATGTGACTCGGTTGACCGGTCCGTTCTGCTCGACACGCCTCTCCACGAAGGAATGCCTCGGAAGTTTGTGAACATAATAAGCTCCCTGTATTCCCAGACTTCCAGGCGTGTAAGAGTATACGGAGAGCTCTCCAAAAGCTTCCGTACACAAAGTGGTGCCCTTCATGGAAGCCGAATCTCCACATTTCTGTTTAACTTCATGATGGAGGAAATCATGAGACGAATGCCGAAATGTCTCCAGAACCCTGTGACGAAAATCTTGTCGATCTGGAATATGCAGACGACATTGTTCTCATCTTCGAAGAGAAGAAGAAAGTAAGTGGTTTGAATGAATTGACTAAAGTCACCCCTTCGTTTAGGAAGCTTTTTGCACCCACAAAGGTCATGCTCTTAGACATGCACTTAAGGAACATGCCACTCACCATGGAAGTTTTGGAGCGTTTTATGTATAATGGGAGTTGTATTAATTCTGACTGCACTATGCACGTTTCTGCAAGGCTCGGGGCGCGTTTGCTAATTTGAAACACTTATAGCGTCAAAGTGATGTATCCCTGAATCTCAAGGGACGTGTGTATCAAGTTACAGTGTGGGCTGTTTTGTTGTATGGCTGTGAAACTCGGCCTGTTCGAGGCGTGGAAGTGAGACGCCTTCCGGCGTTGACAATCGTTGTTTCAGAACCATAGCCCACGTGGGTCGGTATCGGTGTATCCGTAACGTGGCAGTTAGGAAGCGAGTTTTCGGTTGTGCGACGGGTACTTCCATTGAAGAATGTGTCCAGCACCAGAAGCTGTGTTGGTTGAAATATGTGTTGCGTATGCCAAACCGTCGTTTGCCGAAGAGAGTGCTGTTTCCCCTGCCCAACTCAGAGTGGCGTAAACAGAGAGGTGGCTAACCCTTGACCTGGAAAAGGGGATGAAGGAGATTACGAAACGTTTGAGTGCTGCTGATGCTACTCATCTACCACGATGGGGACCGCGTGATTCTCACTGCTCCTGGTTGGAGACGCTTCAAGATATGGCTGCCAACCGATGTCAGTGGCGTTCTTGTTGTCAGTTTCTATTCAGATAGCTTGAATGAATGTTTGGAGGTTTAGGCACCTCGGAATGGTTGTGGTAAGCTGGCACTAAGTCCATTCACAGTTCACCTTTATTCTTTTCTTTACAATAAGGGTTTCAAATAAATCTTGGTTGTACGGCAGTGAAGCACTGGTGTTGAACACTGATGTCATACTGTCGACGATGGCCCTTAAAATGAACCTTGAACGGGCAACGAATCCACAAACTCTCAGTTCATCCAAGCTAATCCATCTGCATTTGTGTCAAACGGTACCTAGAACACATCAGCAGCAACACATCCAAGCGGATTTTAGAACACTTTCTTAATGTGCCGCATTAAAATATGTCTGGAAAATTTAACTGTTCAGTCTCTTTGGTCCCAGCAAGCTGAATACTCGAATCCGCCTGAACCATTCCAATCGGTCGGCAAGTGGTGCCAAAAATGTCTTCACAAAGAAATTTCACGAAACCCTGGAGGTAATGCGATGATACTGCTGACACCGGAGGAAAATTTCTTCAGCCTCTTCCCCTACTTGATTGGTACGCAATTCCTAATTAGTGTTACTGGCCGTCCACGTGCGTCATTATATTTCTTTTGACATACTGTATCTGTCGCAGTTTCGATCTAGGCAGACATAATCTTCATCGCGTCATTTTGCCCGCCTTGTCCGAGGATACACAGCCGACTAAGCCGCGCGTCCGACCGACTGAAATGAACATTCGTCCGAGGTAAGCTGCAAGAAAAAAATTCCCACCATTTTTTTCCTTGTGCGAACAGTGGAAATTTTTAAAAGCATCATAAGTCAAACTACTAGCTGTTCGAAGCTGGTCAGCTGACCCCAATTCTGATGCAAAGTTCAGTCAGTTGTTGAGAAGATGATCACATAAATATCCTATCTACCCTCAAGTGAAAGACGTTTCGTATTCCGAGCAAATCAATGCAATTAACGTTCAATCCTGTGAATCACTGGTTAGAATGAATGCATTGGTAAACAGTTCACAAGTATTTTGATCTTTTGACTACACCAGCACTCATTTATTCCGAGGCTACCATCCTTTCCCTTGTCAAACACACAAACAGGACATTTTGTTGCATCAAGACCGTTCAGGAGGCCAAAGAGCGAGGAACTAAACAAAACAATGTTTTGTGACTTTCTCCTTGGATTTTCAGAAGAAGAACGTATCGTGCGCGGCTGAGGTACAAAACTCTTCGTAGAATTCAAGACAGCTTAAAAAAACCACTTTTTGGACACATGAACAGCAACTGTGATCCTCTTCGCAAACTTACTATCGGACTTGTGATTTTTGACTGATATCGACGTTATATTGTTACGTTAAATTACAGAGGTGGGATTTATAATGCGTACATGAACTGGGTGTTTAACTGTTTAGATTGTTGATCGAATCAATCCACCATTGTGTACGGCTGAGCTGTTAATAAATAAATGCAAAGTTTGAGCTCCGACTAGCTGCTAGGATCATGTCGTGTTACACAGAGCTCTGATTAGTTGAGGATTCTGGGACTTAACAGCTTGGTCTGTAGAGTTCGGTCACGTGACCTTCTGATTCATGGTTTCCCCACGCCCTTGATTTTAATTCACCGTTTGTTTCTTAACTGGGAGTTTGCATAACATGAGACTCGCTCGATGAATTGGTAGGCGTACTGGTAGAGGAAAGAGAATCCTATGGAATTTTCCAGAATTCTAGGAAATTTCATATGCTTCTGTCCTCGTTTGTTTGAAAATTTGATCGGCTATGACCCAAGAGGTTTGACGGAAATGCCTTCCGGTGGAATGGGCCGTTGCGTGGGCGGTTGCGTATGCTATCAATCAACAGCTGACAGAGACTATGTCGGGAGTATAGCAGTTTATCATTTTTTAGGTTAACAGTAATTCATGTCCATAACTGGTATGCGTTTCCCATCCATAGCACTGCGTGCAAAATAACACCAGCTCCCTTTCCGCGGGTTTCGAATTTACGTAGTTTTGGTGTACAAGTGGTGTTTCGGTTTCTCACTATCTTTCCCCAAAGGACTGAATTTCTGAAAAGCTGACTAGAAATATGGACCCAATAACGTACCGAAAACGCCCAATTGTCTGTTAACTGATGTGTCCTGTTGCTTTTAACAGACTAATTTCATAACCTTGCTTGTATTCTTTGCAAAGCCCAGAAAGAACAGAGAATGTAGAAGTGTTTTGTGGACCTCCGCTCTATTTGACTGATAATCTTTACTGAGAAAAGGGTTAGTTTTCATGCGTCAGAACCAGGGTCTAACAATTATCCTTTGTCAACTGATCAAACCGGCCCAGAAAGCCATATTGTTCCTGGGTTCCACGCTGAAGATGTGCTTTTTCTGTACATTCTACTACTTACTATGAAGTCTTTGTAGTTGTTGACGAGAACAAGAGAGGGGAAGTTGATGCCTTT